CAACGCACACCTCCGTACGCCAAGGTACACCTCCACAAACAACGTACACCTCCACAAAAAACGTACACCTCCGTATGCCAAGGTACACCTCCGTAGGCCAACGTATACCTCTGCAGGCCAACATACACCTCGACACCAACGTACACCTCCGTACACCTTACACCAACATACACCTCCATTCAACTCCATACACTAACACACACGTCCACAACCAACATATACCTCCACACACCAGCGTACACCTCACCTCCATACACCAACGTACACATTTGTACATATACATCTCCTTACGTCTCCATACAACTACACACACTAACATGCAGCCCATACACTAACATACACCTCTGTAAAGCATACATCAACATGCACCTCCATAAACTGATATACACACACCACCATACATCTCGATACACCAATATACATCTTTAAACACACACAACTCCATACATCTCCATATAACTACGATACACCAACACACCTCCATAAACCAACATACATCATCATATGCTAACACACACCTCTGGCCACCAACATACATCTCTGTCCACCAACACAGGGCAGCACTGGACCGTTAACTGCAAGGTTGTGGTTCAAAGACACCAGCTGCTCCTTGGAAACCCTACATAGGGTTGTTATGAGTCAGAATCAACTCGACAGCACTTAACAGTCACGACCAACATGCACCTCCATACACTAGCACGCACCTCCATACACCCCCATGTCTCAAAACATGTGACACCCATGCCAACTCTCATCCACTACACACACACAGTATATAAACATGCCACATACACGCTAGACACAAAGTACATGCATATATACAAATGCAGATAACCACACCTATGCCCCAGCACCAGATCACACGCACTACATACACACATGCACACTGCAACATGTGCCCACAGGAAGGCTGGGATATAGCTGTATACGCACACCACAAATGAGCTACACATGTACATCCGCAAGTACCCACACATGTACCCACGAACACATGTAAGTATGCAAATACCCCAACAATGCTCAGTAGCACACCCACCCGCAGATACAATGTAACCATGACCACATGCACAGGATGTGCAGGTGCACAAATAGATACATGTGTCTCACGTGTGGAGATGAGCACACATGCAAGGACAGACATATGCACACAACCATCTACAGGTATTTGCAGGTAGCTGCACACAGAGATCCTGGGGTTCCTGTGGCAAAGTGTTACACACCGACAAGTTTGTCGTCATCTGCGCCCACCTTGTTTTAGCTCTTTTGTGGCCAGGTTGGGCCTCACTCCTCTGCAGCCAACAGCTACTACCCACCCAGGGGGCCTGAGAGCCCAGCGGCAGCCAAGCCCTCTACCGGCTGCCCAGTGGTCCTGGGGCAGTGGCCCACCTCCTCATCGATCCACATGTGCTGAATAAAGGATAAGGGGCTTGGGGGATCATGTGTAACATGTCCTGAAAGACACAGCAGGACCCCAAGAGCAGTGAAGTCATCGACCCTAAATCCCAACTTGCGCCACACTGAAGCAGGGTGCCAAGTACTTCCGGTCAGCTGCGAGTATGAATGGTTTCACTCGTCTTGATCTTTACTGTTTGAAAACATACGTGTGCCAGACGGCCCTACTGGAAACGTCCCCCACGTTCCTCCAACCGTACCCACTGGGCTGTCTGAGCTGTAGTTCCGCCTCTGCCAGGAAGCCTGCCTTTATAGTTCAGTCTCATTGACTCCATTGCCTGGGAGCCTCCCACAGCTGGACCCTGAATGGGCACTCAAAGCTGGGTCCTGAGAGGCTGCTGAAGCCAAACACAAAGTGAGAGCGTCCTCACGCAGGCGCTCCACTCACGTGGCCTCGGCCAGTGCATCCCCGCCCCCCTCCTTCCTCATGCACAACGTCTGGCTGTGGGCTCAGCACTGTTGCCTCCCCTACAAGCCCCGCCCCACAAGCCCTGCCCCGTCTGGCTGTGGGCTCAGCACTGTTGCCTCCCCTACAAGCCCCGCCCCCACAAGCCCCGCCCCACAAGCCCTGCCCCGTCCCCGTTCACAGATGTTTAGAGGCTGATCCTGAAGCTCCGCCCCTCAAAGGAAGCAACGGGTAAAAGAGCGGATTAAAATGTAATCTCACTGATCCCTGGACTGGAAGCGTGTGTCTGACTGCTCCTGCCAAAAAACGACTGGGGTTGGGGGCCACCTGGCCTCCGTTATCTGCGAGGTTCGGCCCTGACAGAGGGTCCCACTAACCCCCACCTCAGCCAGTAGGCCAGCCCCCATATCTCGACTAACAGGAAGACCTGGTCAGGGGGCCTCCCCTTGTGCCATACACGCCGTCACTGTTCAGCAAATATTCAGTGAGCACCGAATCGGCAAGACAGAATCCTAGAGTGTGTGTGGGGGCGGAGGAGAAGCTCAGCCAGAAAGAAGAGGGAGACCTGCTGCCTACAGGGGCTTCCACTCCCAACCAGGAGAACAAACGAATGCCTGGTGCCATCCCCTGTGGGGGCAGAGCTAAAAAGAATAAAGTTAATCTGAGGCCAGCAGGTTGCAGAGAGAACCCTATCAGGCCTTACTCCACAGGGCCTCTGAGCAAAAGAGCAGTAGGCAGCAGGAAAGAGTTGGGTTCAAGAGGGGGCAAGGAGTGGGAAAATGAAAGTTAGAAAGGGGGCAAAGAGTCAGAGACATGGTACACAACTCCTCAGACCAAATGTGTGTCCCAGAGCAGGGCCTGTAAGAGGGGCAGGCTCAGAGCTGGGCTACCTTCCAGCGGCTGGGTGGATGAACAAGGTGTGAGTCCCAGCTCCGCCAAACCTGCCCTCTCACAAACATCAGGACCCTCCCCTCCTGGGAGACATCCCTCCCACAAACATCTGGGCTCTCCCTTCCTGAGGGAGAAGCCCCTCCCACAAACATCAGGACCCTCCCTGCTCTTATCTCCACTCTCTAGTCATGAGAGGGGGGAGTGTACAGACCACATTCTACCCCAGCCTCTAAAAGTGCACCAAAGATAAAGATACCACCAGTCAAACAAACCCAGGGCCTGGGACTGGCTCAAAAACAAGCATGTGACCCCAGCCAGCCAATGAGAGTCAGCTCTGGGACTGTTGGCTCTGGGCATCATGCAGGTGGGAGGAGAGCCAGGTGCTGCTGGGAGTGATTTTTCCAGGACTTGAGAATGGCACTGGCCCCAAGGAGAATGAGTTTCTGAGTATTTTCATATAAGCTCCTGGATCCACCCATACCTGCAGCAGGATAGCACCAATTTTTCAATACAAGGTTCTATAAACTCTTTAGCCTCAAGCCATTTGAGCTGAGTATTTGTCTCTCGGGTTCCAGAGGCCTGGATTTCCAGACCCTCCCTAAGGCAGCTGGTACACTTTTACAACTTCATAACCTCAAAGTGCCCAGGGACCCAGAGCAGTCCAAGAACGGACTCTAAACCACACAGCTCATCAGGATACCAGCTGGACTTGAACCCAAGCCCCCCAGGAGCTGCGGGAACCCAGGAGCCTCATAGGAAGACCACCCAGAAACAAGGAGAGGATGTGTGATCTGATACTGAAGGTACTTAAGGTGGCCAAGGAGCGACAGACCAGTGACCCCTGCAGCCACAGTGCCCCGTGAGGAAACCATTTGAGGGAGAGGGGACCCATATGTTAACTGCTCAAATTAACCCCAAGGAAATTGCTGGAGCAAGCAGGATTGAATGAGCTTCCCCAGGGGGACACCCCAAACCTATCCGATGTCTTTGAGTCCACCTGGCTGGGAGCGGCTAGGGTCCCAGCTTTCTGACCTCCAAAAGGCTGAGCCCTGCCCCAGTGAAAGTCCAGGACCCCACTGTGACACAGAATAAAGCTCCCATTGCCTCTACAGCTGCAGGAGAAAACCATGCCTGATCTCCACCCAGGACCAGAGAAGATGAATCGACAGAGGTGCCATCTAGGGTGAGACTCCCAGGAAGTCTGTCTTTCCCCTCCATCAAAGGCTCCTAGAGCCAGCTCAATCTTGGTTCCAAGTACCAGCCTCTAAGCTCACTTGCTGTACAATCTCAGGCCGGTCACTTTCCCCAAGACTAAACTGGAGAAAACTTCATTGTATATCTCACACAGTTCTAAGTGAGGGTTGTGTAAACTTGTGAGAAAAGTGAACAAAACCAAGAAGTGAACAAGGATGATGCCAGCAACAACAGCGTCCGTGTGAGGCTTGCTCAGTCCCGGCCATTGTTCTGAGGGCCCTGGGTAGTTAGGATGGGAGTTAAAGGCAGATGCTGTAACTACCATCCCCACACAGGTGAGGAGTATGAGTCACAGCTCGGGTACAGACCCAGGAAGTGACAGGGGATTCAACCGAGAACACTGGGCCCCTCCTGCCAGTCCCACTATTCCTAGTGTTACTGGGGTGGGAACGGCACGGGAGTCTTGCTACCCCACCCTGCAAGGCTAAGCACCCAGTGCCTAGATCCCAGCTGTGCAGGTTCATCCTGTGTCCGGCTCCCCCACTGTACCAGAGCAGCCTTGCAGGCCCCTCAAGCCACCAGGGGCAGATTCCACTGCAAATTTCAGCAGGAAGGGGGCCCAAGAGTGAACAGAGAAGTTAAAGTAAGGAGGGGAGGGCCCCCATCTGCCAAACTATACTGTGTCACTTCAGACAAGACCCAGTCCTGCTCTCGGCCGGCTTCGTCCGTGAAGTAAGAGAGGGGGCTCGGCATCCACAGACTCTGAACATATTGGGAAAAGTCGACTTGAAATCGTGGTCCCAACCTCACAGCAGATTGATTTTGATTGAGTACAGAAGCTTACAACCCCACCTGACACACTAGAGCCCAACTCAGGGCAATCCTTCCAGACATCTAACAGCTGCCCCACTCAGGATTCTCCAGAGCCCCCAGCCTGCTCCAGACCCTGTGTTTCAACTATTCAAAGGGCCCCCATTTCAAATTCCAGGCCCACCCTTTCTGCGCTGTGTGACTGAAAAGGTAGCTTAACCTCTCTGGGCCTCAGTTTCGGTTTCCATGAGTAAAATGGAAACAATGACCTCCCTACCCTCCTAGGGCGGCTAACTTAGAGGACCTGGTCCCACTCCTGGCAGGGAGAAATGCTCATTTGGCACCATCTTCTAAAATGAGGGTCCCTCATCGTCAAGCTGATCAGCTGACCAACGACACTGTCCGAGGACCTTGTCCCTTTCTCAGCAGACCCCTCCCCAACAGCTACACCGTGAGGGAGCCACCCCCTCCCACCCGTCTCAGGGCAGGAAGGTTCCTGAGGTCCCACTTTGCAGGTGGGAACACTGAGGCCCATAGAGGGGCCTTCAAGGTAACACCTACATCCCTCCTGATGGCAGGAAGGCAAGGGGGGAGGTTCAGGGGGTGGGGAGGGTGGGGGAGGAAAGATGGCAATACACAAGAAAGGGGAGGGGGAAAACAAAAGCAATGCAGAATGGGTGAACGGTGGGGGAGGACAGCAGGCGTACCCGGTTCTCGTCGTAGATGATCTGTACCAGGCTGCGATGCTTTGACTCAATGGGTGGTGGAGACACTGGCTTCTCAGGCTCGGGCGGCTTGGCAGCCTCTTCCTCCAGCTGTTGCTGTGGAGAGCGGGAGAGCATCAGCAGTGAGTGCGGCGGTGGTGGAAGGAGGAGACACAGGCTAAGGGCTGCAGCGGGAGGCCCCCTTGCAGCCTGGCCTGGTGGCCATGCACAGGAAGTCAGCCTACTAACCATTTCCTCTGAGTCAGCCCCGGGGACTCCGTGGCTGGGAACAACCCCTGGCTGGCTCACTCACTCCGGGAATGGCCTAGTTCAAGGGCTGACTTCCAGCCTCCAGTGTCTGCCTTTTCCAGGTTCCAATCCCACCTCTGTGACTTTCTGGATAGGTGACTTTAAGCATGCACCCTAAGTTCTGTGGTTCAGAGTTCCCTCATCTATAAACCAGGCCAGTCCCTCAGCACGGAGGTGAGGACTGAACAGGACCACCAAGGCATGGCACAGCCCACTGAAAGTCAGACCACAAGGGTCTCCTACTTCTGGGATGTGGGGGCCAAAGTGTCCAGCATGTTGCTGAATTTCTCTGAGCCTCACGCTCCTCATCTGGGAAACGGGGACAATTTCAACAGTCCCTACCCTGTCAAATCCTGTTGTAGCACTGTGGGTTAATGCGCTGGACTGCAAGTTGGTTTGAACCACAAGATCAGTGGTTCAAGCACCCCAGCTGCTCCTCAGACAGCATACACAGAGGGGGATAGCTACCCTAACAGTGACGGTGGCCCTCCCTCAGGTACACGGGACACATACTCAGTTAAGAAGGCAATTTAAAAGGAAATTCAAAAACAAAAATTACTGTTGCCTGCAGGTTACAGAGGAGAACTGGCATCTTAACAGAAGCAAATGAACACGCCTTTCTTCTACAAAGCCACGAGGCGGGATTAAACTGTCAACCTTAAGTTTAGCAGCCAATCACAGACAACTTGCATCAACCAGGGTCCTCATTCAAGTCTTAACTCACTAGCTCTGTGGCCTAAGTCTGCCCCGGGGTCTCCGTCTGGTGGGGGGGGGGGGGGGGGGAAGCACATGAAAAGCTGCTCTGAGGGGAACAGGGGATAAGCTGAGTCCAGAAGAACTAGATGGTACCTGGCGACCACTCCTGACTCTTCTGGCCAAGGCCACTAAAGATAAACTTGAGCGAATAGAAGGGAAATGTGGAACAGAACCTCAAAGTCCTTAAACTTCAAAAAAAAAACCAAGCCTACTGGACTAGTTTAGATTTGAAGACTCCCTGAGACTGTCACCTTGAGACACTCTTCAAACCCTGAACCAAAACTAACTTAAGGCCACTTTATTGCTAAATAGATTGGCTCAAAAAAGAATGACTATCATCCATAAAGAATGCGCTCCTTTAAAACAAAAAATCACCTCTGTGAGACCAGTCAACAATTACTTTAAACAAAAATGAGCATGTAACGGGAGGGCAGGGGAACTAGACTAACACAAACAGAACAACCAGAATGACAATAGTGAGAATGTTCTCACAAGGTGACCGAATGAATTGTGGAGACTTTGCTGAATGGGAACCTAAAGTGCTATATACATCATCATTGAAGATACAATAAATATATATACATTTTTTTTTTTTTTAAAGGAAATAATGCAGACAAAGTCCGGCCTCACAGCAGGTGCATTGTGAATACCTGGCATCAGATAGAAATTAAAACCACAATGAGATAGCACTTCCCACCACTAGGGTGATTACAATAAAAAAATCTGACAATAGCAAGTGTTGGCAAGGATGTGAGGATATTGGAGCCCTCAGGTATTGCTGAAGTGGTACAGCTGCTGTGGGGGACAGTCTGGCAGGTCCTCAAAAACTTAAACATAGAATTACCATGTGACCAGCAATTCCACTCCTAATCTACACCCAAGAGAACTGAAAACAGGCGTTCACACAAACACGTGTACACAAATGCTCACAGCAACAGTATTCACCACAGCTACAAGGAAGCAGCAGCGCAAACGTCCATCACTGGTGAGTGGGTACCACACACTGGAATACAATCAGGCCATAAGGGAATGAAGTGCTGACACATTCATTTGCAAAATGAATGAACCTCAAAAGCAAGATGCTACATGGGGGGAAAGAAAAAAAAAAGGAGCCTTGTTATGGCACTATAGGTACAGGATAAGCACTCAGCCTCAAGGTCACCGGTTCAAACTCACCAGCCGCTCCTTGGAAACCCTATACAGGGTCGCTCACTCTGAGTGAGAACCGATTCGATGGCACTTAACAATAACATCATAAAAAAACATCAGTCACAAAAGACTGTACGGCATCTGACTTCATTTCTATGAAATGTCCAGAGTAGGCAAATCCAGAGATCCAAAGCAGAGCACTGGTTGGTTGCCAGGGACTCAGGGGGAGGGTGTTGTGTAGCAGTGACTACAAATGGGTAGAGGGTTTCCCTAGGGGATGAGGAAAATGCTGTGAAACCAGAGAGAGGTGACATCTGTAAAAATACTATAAAAGTGCTAAATGTCAATACGGTAGATTGTTCACTTGCAAATGATTAATTTTTATGAATCTTGCCTCCCCCCCTCCCCTCCCCCCCAAGTACCAAAGTGGAGTTGAAAACAAATAAAAATACAAGTCGACTCTACTGGTTGTCCCAAACCTTCTGGACCAGGCACAAATGTGACCAGATGACCGACAGGGCTAGCCTCATTGCAAAGCCAGGCAGTAGGTGGCCACGCCAGCACATGAGGAGTACTCCCACAGTGCCTACTACCACGTCATTGATCTTCACTGTCCTCGAGGCTGTGAGGTCAGAGGCCTCATCTCCCACCTCCCTACCCTACCCCCATCCACCTGCCCACACCTGTTTCTTCTTCAGCTTGGAGATCTGCTGCTCCACCATGGTGATCTCGCGGTCCACACGGTCCATGTTCTGGATCAGCTCCTCCTTGGACAGCCGCGGAGGGATCAGCTCCAGCTCAGGGTCCGCGTGAGGTGGGCTGGGTGGGGACACCGGCTCCAGTTTGCCTGTCAGGCTGCGGTCCTATGGCAGAGAGAAGACAGATATGGGGTACCCCAGCCAGCAGCCCCCACCAAACACACTCCCAGCACACCAGAGGTCACGTACGGGTCCTACGTCCGCACTTCTGCCGGTGTTGGTTCACCTGCAAGGCGCACCCTTCGGTCCATTCGCCCGTTCTCCAAAGGTCAGAATCCTTTCTGTGGTTCATGATTCAGTTCAAACGTCTCCTCCTCCGAGACAGTTTCCCAGCCTTCCTCAAGACGTGAAACCCGCCACTCCCCACTCCCTCAACAACTGTCTTACTTCGCTCCCTCCACCTGTGTCTGCCCACGGGACCAAACTCCTCAAAAACAGCCCGGCACCAGCAGGCCCTCCAGAGATGTATTATATTCACAACGCTGCAGTAAAACACACCAACTCTAAAACTCTACCCACAAACCAACACCAAAACGTTATTTACAGCACAAAGAGGCCTGGTGGTGCAATGAGAAAGCGCTGCGGTTCAAACCCACGGGTGCTCTGCTTGCATAAAGGTGACAGCCCAGAAAAACCCCATGAGGCAGTTCTGCTCGGTTGCATGGGGTCACTATGAGTCAGAACTGACAGCAACATACGCAGGAACCACCACCTGGTTTTGTAAAAAGCATGCATGCGTACTCAGACAGAAAAACTGTCAGAATCAGAAACACGTAAGTTAAGAGTGTGGCCGCCAGTCTCAAACTAAAATCAAACCCACTATTTTGTCCATTTCGACTCACAGTGACCCGATGGACACAGCAGGACTGCTCCATATGTTCCCACAGATGATGAACCTGAAGGAAGCAGCCTGCCTCAGCTTTCTCCATGGAGCAGCTGCTGGATTTGAAATGCTGACTTTTCAGTGAGCAGCCCAACAATTATCCCACTGCGTCACCAGGACCCCTTCTGGGCAGTAGAGGGAAAGGTATTCTCACTGTCTTCTTTGTAATCAGGTCTTTATCTGATTTTTTTTCCCTTCACTGAAGGTTACTGTGTGTGCAATAACGCTGCTTTTCAAAGTGTATTCAAAGAGGGAACCCATGCGTCAGTCAAGCATCACACCTCTGTCCTTCTCCAGACAAAAACCTCTGGGTACCAGTTGTGCAGTGTGTGTGTGTGTGTGTGTGTGTGTGTGTGTGTGTGTGTTGGGGAGTGGGGGAAGAAGGCGGTGCCTGGTGTGTGTGTGTGTGTGTGTGTGTGTGTGTTGGGGAGTGGGGGAAGAAGGCGGTGCCGGGTGTGTGT